TCTAAGCTTCATCGTAGCGTGGAGCAGAAAAAATGTGAAACTTTTTGTGGGACAGGATATTCTGGTGCCCATCTCATGGGTGTGCATGACTGTTCGCGCTGAGAGCTACATAAGGGGACAAAAAGGCAAGAAGCAGATGTCTCTGTGGCCTGTGGCAAGGGGAGGAAGGATGCATGTGAGGGACTGAAGAATTCTTGCCTTGACAAAGACTCCCAAAGTGGAATTTATGAGACTCCGTCTATAATAAAATGCTCTTAACTTAGTGTCTGGCTGTAATCCGGGTGCGTCCCAAGAACAGTGGCATAAGGATAAAGCTGCCACATCACACATTCCTTGCTATCGCCGCAGCTCCTCTCTTGATGAAACAAAATCTTTCCTTGTCTGACAGCTTTGAAAATGAAAATAAGGAGTGAAGAAAAAACCTCAACTTTTTGCTATATTTGAAAGCACAGGGAAAAACATGGCAGTCTTGTGAACAAAACTTTTCCATTGCTCAAACTACAAACATAAGATATGAATAAGAAATTGCCAAACTTGCATTTTAAAAGATTCTGCACATATCTGCGGGAACAGAAAAGCTACCGCGAAGCAGCTGAAAAATACTCTGAGGACCTAGTTGTGTGGAGGACGTGTACGTCCAGCAAAGTACTTAAAAAACATCATCTTGTGGAACAGGTTCCCTGTTGTTGTTTTGCAGAGTTGAACTGAGTTGATTTTGAGAGATGTTTCTGTGCAAGTCTCCGAACAGCATTTCCTCCCTTACAGCAAGGACAAATTCTTGGCCCTGCTGAAATCAGAGGTTTGTTGGTGACCTCCAAGGGAGTGGGACTCATCCCCAAACACCATTTGTGCTGACTCCAAGGGTAGTGGGTGTTTGCTGGAGTCTACTTTGCCTGATGATCCCTGAGACAGTTCTCAATTGATAAATGTGAAGATCTTTAGCAGTGGGGACAAGGTGCAGTGTTAACCCCGCTCAGCTACAGGTGTCTTTCTCAGCCCGCAGAGAGAGGCAGGGTCTTTGCAAAAGCCATTCGCAGCAAGAATATCCCACTAAACCTCAGATCCTCCCTGTGGAGAAGGTCATCTCCATCCATGCCAGAGCCCCAGGGCAGAAACAGCGCTCAGAGCTGCAGAAATCGAGTACCTGCTCTGCAGGGTAGTGACGCTTGCCTAGTGGCAGGAGAAACACGGATGGATTCCCCAGTCATTTAGGGCTGCCTGAAAGTGTGATCCAAGCAATTTAAAGCTGGGAATTAGAAAAAGAGGCTACTGCAGGCCTTCACATGGTTAATTTGGTTTTTCTGACCAGAACAACTCTATAAGCCCAGCAAATCCTGGTGATGATTTGAAGCTCTGTTGTCAGTGCCAACACTTAGAGACACTAGAGCCTGCAAGTAAGAGAGCAAATACTGAGACAGTGCAATGGAGCACAAACTGCTTGCATGTTTTGTTTTGTTTTGAAAGGAATTTAGAAGAATGGCAGATCTACCAGAAGCGAAACACAGCCTTTGGGCTTTTGTTGGTGGATTAATAATTTTTAAGAATTAGTAAGAATAAAAGTTTTCCTGCAAAAATCACTCTATTTTCTATAGCTTAGGACAAACCTATGTAAGAAATTTACTCAGCCTCACGGGTTTTCTTATTTGGACTTTATGATTTCAGGGGACTTGTTTTGCAGACTCTGCATCCCAAGGCAGGAAATTAAGGTCAGATATTAGGAAAACCCACCAAAGAGCCTGAAACAGTTTTAGTTTCTCAAAGACCATCCCATATGAGAATTACATATTTAAATATGTATAGAACCTCTAAGCCAGCAGTTGCATCAAGTTATTCATGAAAAGTCTGAGAGATCTTTGTGAAAGCCAAGATATTTGGATGAAACTTTCTCATTTTTTCTTGAGAAAGACAAAAGAATCCATGAAATGATCTGTGAGTCTAATGGTAAATCCGCACTTGAGGAGGAGGAGGAGATGTATTTTCCAGGAATCCTATTGTGGATGAGGGTTTTCGTGTCATTTGAGAGAATATTAATAAATTCAGGCCCTTTGTAAATGTATTAAAAAACATAAATAAAATAAAAATATAAAGTGTATGGAAATCAATGGAAAATTGTATGATTGATATTATTAATAGGCAAACATTTACTTTTTTCTGATATGAAGTCTATTGTTCTTTGAATTAACATGGCTGTAAACATTCTTGCACTGTTTTTGGGTTGAATGTCCATATTTTGTTGGATCCAGAGTTTTATTATTTTCCGGTAGACCATCTGTAGGGCAATCAGATTTGAAAGCAATGAGATCCCTATATTCTCTTACATCCATTTCCAAAAAAAGTATTTCTAAAACTTTTTTATTACTCATGGTATCTGACTTTTTAGGTCTTTTAGGTTTTCATTTCTTAGGAACAGATACAAATTTCAGTTGTTTGTACCATATATATATCTTTTTTTTGCATATTATATGTGTGTGTTTGTGTGTATAACATGCAACTGCCACAATGGAGCAATTCCCTATGTGCTAGACTCTAAAGTGCAAGAAGTGGTTAGTTTATAGCTCTCTTTAGGTTACAACATTTTAACATTTCTTCAGTGTTTATTTATTCTCTTCCCAAAGAATGTTCTGAAATATCAAGTTTACAACCTGTGGCTCATGTGATGGTAGTGGAAACAATTAAGCCAGAAGCTTTCAAAGCTACCACTGGGATTTTGATGCCCAAACTCATTAATTTTAATAAGAAATGAACTGCCAGTCCTCTTAAGTGGTTTCTAAAATCTCAGCCCATAAAATCACCTCTCTACTGGTTCCAGTTTACTAGGGGTTCAGAGCAAGGTAAATGTATGTAACAAAACATATGTGTTAAAAGGTGGAAATTGTGTGTTCAGATGTCTCTGAGAGCATTCAGGGCATGGCAGCCCCAGCCTCCAGCAGGCAGATGTGAACTGAGACAGGGGCTGCTTCTGCCTTCAGTGTCCAGAGGAATTCAGAGTTGTCAGGGGCACCTCTGCTGCTGACTGATCAGAAGACAAGGCCAAATCTGAGACGGAGAAGAAATTTCAGTGAAAATAAAAATCTTGCACCAGCTCGGTTTCAGTTCTGAGCATCACGCTAGGCGTGCACCTCACCATCAGCTCTGTGCTGTCTCTTTCCTACCGCGATGCCGCTGACCTTGTGGCCAGGGTAGTGCCAATCTGATGTCCAGGTGCGCAGCCAGGCTCACACCACACAGTGCAGTGAAGAGCAGAAGCACCTGCAGCAGCACCAGAGCAGACTTTGGGCAAGGGCATCCAACCTGCATTCCCATTGCTTTGGCACAAACACAGGAGGTGACAAGGCCAGGGCATTTTTGCCGATATTACAGTGAGCTGCTTCACATTTGTGTGAGTTTAATCAAGTTTCTTCCTACCTGCCTAAACCGTGATAACAAGGGTACACTGTGGTATCTTCCAGACCACTAAGTGCTTGGATTTGTAAACTTGGAGAATTTTAGAAGTAGCTTTAAGTGTCTTTGTTTTTTTTCTTACTGATCACTGAAGAGCTACATCAGTGTCAGCTAGGACAATAATACAGTCTTCTTTTGCCAGTGGATCTCGTGGTAGTGACAGTTAATACTCAGTAGCTTTTGGAAGAACCCTTATGTGAAAACTCCAGGCAGTGGAAACAGAGATGACCATCTTGACTACTATTGTAATGGACTTCAAAAAGGAAAAAAAAAAAACCTGCTATTAGTAGTAGATGTGACTTTTTTTGGAAGAGAACAAAATGTTCCATAAATGAAACATGTGGTTTCACTTGCAGCACATTTTGTACATTGTCACCAATGAAGGTTAGGATTTTTTATTACTTTTTCATTAAAATGTCTTACTGGTTTCACTCAGGAGGCAAAACTTTTCACGTGGCTTTAATTGTTTCTGTCATAAAAGTCATAGCATCCATGTAATAGAAATAGTTTTGCAGACCACAGCTTTACATTGACTATTAATTTTCTTTCATTTGCTTTTCCTACAAGTCATTGGGCCATCCAGAGACATAAAATGTTCCTCTTTTGCAATTAAGATAAGATTCAAAGTCAGACCAAAGAGGAATTTTTACTTAAGGGCAAAAAAAATCACTTTGTGTTAAAACAATTTTAATAGATTTTTATTTGGGGTATCTTAACACAGAAATGTAAGGTGAAAGGGCCACATATCAAATGAAAGAGTCTATATTGCCTTTTTCAAAAAATAGTGAAACTCTAGAAAATGAAAAAAATAAATATCCTTTTTCTGCACAGTTCCAATCAAATGCAAGTGATGGTGGTATTTCAAGAGAAGAAGTGAAGAGTGCTGGCCATGTTGTTTTAAGATGGCCTTGGACAAGTGATTTATCCCCTTTTTTGCCTCACTTCTCTATTATACAAAACTACTGGAGTTTGGATCTCACTCATATCATTCCAGCATTCCCCTGTTAGACCATGCTTCTGTCATCACTCAGACCATCCCCGTAACTATTCCCAACTCAGGTGAAGAAGCATAATTATTCCTGCAGTCAAGAAAGTTACTCGTTTTCCACAGAAGACAGACCAAGTTAAAAAAGAAAGAAGGATATCTGTTACCCCGTTAATTTATGTTCAGCTTCGGTTAAGGTATTTGTTAGTCGATAATCTGCTTTCCTCAAAGATAACCCCAGTTTTGCCATTTAACTTTCAGCGCAAGATGTGAGGATTTTTCCCAGGAGCAGCAGACTCCAAAGCCTGTAAGAAATCATTAAAATGCCAGGAAAGTGCAATAGTGTATCATCTGCCTCTTCACTGTTTTTCAGTTTATTGGCTACTTGATAGTTTGCTAGGAAATCTCTCTGATGTGTTTGGATATTGCCCCCAACAGCTTTCTTCTTTTTCTTCTTCTTAGAAGCTTGGAGCACCCACCAAGTAGCACAGTCCTCTATCTCTGTGTTTTCTTAGCACTCATTTCTACATTGAGTTTTTCAATGTTGTATTTTGCAGTTCAAGGACAACAAAGACAAGCCCAGCCTTAGAGGGGTCTTCTGCAACTGCCCTGCCTGCTGTCCAGTTTTCTGAGCAGGTCCCACTGACATCTCCTTCCCTGAAGCCCTTGCAGATGGATGAAGAAGACAGCCTGTCTCCTCACCTCCTGCTGCCAGACAGCATCAGCCAGCTGGAAGAGTTTGGAAGGCAAAAGAAATGGCACAAAAAGCAGCACAAACACCATCGCCAGAGGCAATTCAATGACCTCTGGGTTCGGATAGAAGACAGGTGAGTCATAACTTCAACGTCTTCTCTTCTCCTCTTCCTGTAATTGCTGGTGTAAGACTGAATGGCAGAAACAGGGAGCAAGGTAATGGTTTGGGATTTTGCAGTTCCCAGCTCTTGTTGATTAGACCAGGACAAGGGCTGGTGTAAGACTGAATGGCAAACAGGGAGCAAGGTAATGGTTTGGGAGCATAAGGAAGAACTAGGAGGAAGGCTCACAGACAAATATGGCTAAACAGAAAAGAGAAAGAAACCGAATGCTGAGAATATTTGAAGTATTCAGAAACAAAGGGTTAGCAGAGTGAAAACAGAAATATGTTAAGAGAAAATATTCAGCCCTTTTTCCTCCAAATATATTTTCTCATCTTTAGTGTCAATTTTCCAACCATTTAGAATAGTCCTGGGACTACTTCATGTTTTGGCATTTTTGATTTGTATCTTCCTACTTTATTTCTTGTGTTGACATATTCTAACATTTCAGACAGCCCCAGTGCTTTGAAAACAGCCATCTAATTGAGGCATTCTGAGTGTAGCATTTGTGTGTGTGTGTGCGTGTGTGTCTTTCTATTTGTCTGTATGTCTATCTGTATCTTGTTATAGTGGATTAGAGTATGTCACATATAGGAGAAAGGAACTCCAGAAAAGGGAGATACTGATTACTATGTTACAATTGAGAAATTGAGGCATGGCCAGATGAAAGCTAAATTCATGGATAAAACTTGTGATATCACTAAGTTTTGAATTCCTATTTCCCAGCATTTAGTCCTTTACATATACTGCAAAATGTCTGTCCCTTATATCCTTAAATTAAGTCACATTACCGAGTAAGTATTAATTAGAGCTCTTTGGAAAAATGCCTCTAATTCACCATTCTGCTTGTTCCTTTTTATTCTCTCCAGTCAGCTAGGTAGCATATGACATCTATTTGCAAAAGATCAAATGTTTCCCCCTCAAAATGAAATATTTAATACAGACCTGTGTTTGAGGGATAGGCACCTTTTCATGGCAATTCAGATTTTTGTCCGAGTTAAAAACTTCATTCAGTGTTAGAAAAAGGTGAATCTGGGCCTTCAAGTTTGCCAGTGATCTTGACATGTGCCTCTAGGATGTCTGTATGTTTTATTACCAATCTCTAAAATTGTGTAAGTTTTGAGTGCAGTTATCCGGGCAAAGCCATGAACAAGTGAGGCTAAACAGCCAAGGTGTTTATAGGTCTGCTAACAAGTGAATGAATTAAAACGATCGGCTGGAAACTCACTGCTTACTGCATGTAATTATTATCTCTCTTTGGACTTCGTTCTTATTGCAGTTTTCATGGCATTTAAATACTTTGCAAGTAAGATGAGTCCAGGTTTCTCAGAGGCTTCTCCCTTTACTATGGAAAGAACTCTTGGGATTTTCTTGAATATTTTGGGGGATATTGGGAAAGAACTCTGTGATTTTTTTTTCATTGTATTTTTATTAAAGAGACTGTTGCTTTATTGGTATTGCAGTTTATTGTATTCCCTTTTCATTTGGTGTAAGGGTGATTACAGCAGTGCATATTAATGTAGTGAGGCTTTTTTTTTTTCTGAGATTAATGGCATATTTGGAAAGAAGGATCTGATTCTGGATTCATTAATTCTCTTCCAAATTTCGTTCTGTGGTTGGATCCTTTCCCTGGAAGATCTAAACACATGAGTTTAAAGGCCTGTACAGCTCCCTGCCTCAGAGATCAGGAACTTTCCTGTCCTCCCACCTGGGGATTCCAGGTTGTGGCTGGATGTCCAGCATTTCACAGCGGTGTCTGGCCCAGCTCAAAGTATTTCTAATGCAAGTAAGTCTCTTAAGCACTTAGATCTGATGGGAGCCTGGACTTTAACCACATTCCTCCTGCCCCAATCCTGTCTATCCAGAGAAGATGCGGGGTCTGATGTGATATGGTTGTGGAACTGCACAGCTGGGAGCTTAGGGAAATGGTACTTGCGTAGCTCTCTGGGCCTTTTGTGTTTTTTTAATGAAATGTTCCTAGGAAAAATCTTTAAATCATGGTTCCTCCGATTATCATTAAAATATTTTTGATCTATACTCCGTTGGGATCTCATCTGAATTAAAACCTTTTACTCCTTTACTCCCATTAATAAGAATGGAGATGAGGATGGGGAAACATTGGTTTCCGCTCCCACCAAGCCAGTGATGAAACAGGCTCTGTGTGTTGCCTGCCTTGATGAAAGATCCCAGGGAGATATTAGTGGGAGATCAGAGCCCTAGAAATGAGGAAAGGCTGGAAGAAGGGAAATCTGCCTTAGTGTTTTCAGATGGTTTTAGGGCTTCTACAAATCTGGAGTAACTTCTGGTGTTTTCCTGGAAGCAAAACAAAACAAAAATTACAAACCATTCAGCTAAAATCAGAGACTCACGACCAGCTCTGGTTTCCCCATAAATTGGATGGGGTCTCAATTTTCATAAACCAGCTGCTGCATATTGTGCTTTTGGCAGTTGGGCTTCATCAGCATTAATTGCAAGCTGGACCTCGCGCAAGCCAGCAAACTGCGTGTGCTCTCCAAGCAGTTCATTTCTGACTGGCAAGGCTAGAGCAGAGATCTGTGCATGTCACCAGCCTGTAGCAACAGTCTTGGGAAGTGTGGGAGGAAGAATTATATGGACAAAGGGGTAACAGAGTTACCTGTGCAGGAGAGAAGCACGTGAACTCGCATGTGCCTGTCCCACATTACTGTACTGGTTCACAGCAGTGGGACTGAACACATGTTCTTGGATGCTAAACGATGCACGAGAAGCTTATCCTGCAAATGCACTGTGCATTTGTATGTGGTCCAGCTGGAGACTTCATGGTCAATGTGGAAAGACAAGATGGATGAACTGAGCTGTATGGATGTTGTCTCATTTGGGGCTGTGGCGTAGTATTTCCAACGGTTCTCATAGTTGTTTCCCACGTCACCTGTTTTTGCCTGGAACTTGACTAGTCTATGTTTGAGAGAAAATGGAACATTAACAGATTTGGGTCATTGTTGATTTTGGGGAGGGGATTTGTTTGTTTGCTTTTTTTGGTGCAAACTGTATAAAAACATTGTTTCCATGGGAGGTCTTCCAAATTCAACTTTTTCAGACACTTTTCAACCTGGAAAGTCAAGGAGAAATATACAGGTAGAAGGCAAATCCAGGTGAATTTAAACAAGATTATTGGTTCTTGTATGAACCTCATTGAACTGTGAAATCACTGTGATTCATACAGCTCTTTTCCAAAGCTTTATTGACTGTGGATTAGAGGACTTTTTGAGCCATGAATTGCAGGGCTTTTATGGACTATGGATTACCAGCCTATCTCATACAGTCCCATAGAAATCTTAGGGTGTTTTTTTAAGCTACCAACACAGAAACAAAGGAAATGAACACAGGAGAGCAATCTTAAAGGAACATCAAAGGTCTGACTCTAACATATAAAAGCCAGGAAGTCCGTAATTAATGGTTCCACTAAGACTTCAGCTCTCAGAGTCTTTCTGGTCTGCTCCGAGGTTATGACTACAGTCTGAAATGGTCTCATGAAAAATGAGTCATCATTTAATGTCACACATCATCATTATTATTTACTTTTGGTTGTACCTTGGAGATTGTCCTTTCCTTTTTGTTCTGTCTTAACAGCTGAGGCATTTGAGTTGGCACCCCTGGGTGGATTGTGTTTAGATTTGTGTGTTTGAAGGTTATTACCACTGTGGAGGATAATAAGGCTTCTGCTCTGTCTTCTCCCTGTCTCTGACAGAGCTAAGATTTGCTGATCTTCTGGGTAAACAGCTACACTGAACAATTCAGTGAATTCAGTGAATTAAAAAAATAAAAAATGCTGATGAAATGTGTGGTTTCCTCTCCCTTCTGCCTCCTCCTCCCAAAATCTAAACAACATAAAAACATCCTGCCAGGCATTAACTTGTGATTGAAATTCTTTGTCAAAAATGAAACAGGAATTTCAAGTAGTGAGACTTATTTTTTTAACTGTTTGCTTTTGCAGGAATGTCCAGAGTCTTTCTCTGAGAGGAATTTGGACTTAGTCAAAACTGAAACACTAGGTAGCTCCTGCAGCCAAAGCCAACTGGGGCAGGAGGGAGAGCAGGAAAAATCCTTGAGCTAGGAGGCTGCAGCCTGGAATACAGACCGTGCTGCTGTTCCTGTTGACAGTGTGTTAGCTAAGCTTCTCCTTGTAATGTATGTAATTAATTACACATCATTCACTGGAGTTTTATGATGAGCTGTTCAGTAAATTGCAAGAACAGAAACATGTGCATGACATTTCTGAGCAGTGAGTGAAGGCCAAACCAGTATCACACCTTAATTCTGTTGGGCAAGCAGTTTGAGGGTACAAGCAAAAATAATCCAAAGCAACAGGGAACCTGTCCTGACTGTAGTGGGAGCATTGGAGCTCTAATAGACTCTATGGCAGAAGGAGAAAAGCTCCTTGGGACAAGAGAGGGAGGAGAGTTAGTAACTGGGAAGGTGTTTCAGGAAGTGTGAGGATTGGAGGGATCGCTCATCTCTGTCACTCATAAAAGAAAGAAATGAAGCAGAGAGAAGAAAGAATTGGAGAGGGCATAAGGGGCAAACCTGGGTTAATTCCCATCACTGAGGAAGAGATCTGGACAGATAGGACACTTGGGAAAGCACTAAGGGCACACAGGCTTCACTTGGAGAGAAAAGAGGTTCAAGGAAAAGAGCTGTGATCAGAATAGAGAAAAAGAGATTCTTGTCTCAGATTTAAGTTTGGCCCTGCAAACCCCACGCTAGTGGAAAATGAAATGAATTCCTCTTGTAATTGGAAGTGGCATTTCTCTGATAGCCTGATGCTGACTGTTCAACCTCAGATGGGCGCAGTAATACCACAAATATCAATTTCTTTTAGAAGCAATGGTTACTTTAGAAAAAAAAGTTATGCCAATGATGGATGAAGGGAGACAATGCGTAATAAACTACACGGAGTGTGCTGGTATAGAGTGTACCTTATCAGTTTGGATGGA